ATATATATATAAATAAATATATTTATCACATTATATATATATATATATATATATAATATAATGTGTGTGTGTATATATATTTACTGATGTGTTAATGAATACAGAGCTGCAATAATGTGAGTCTTTTATATCTGCATAGAGTTCAGATTTACATCTCATCATGCTAGCAGTTCTAACAAACAGTGGCAGGCAATCTCTTTTTTCATCTGCTGTTCTCTCTACAATTACCCGTCGCGTCAGGAAGGAAAAGACTGCGCGAAGCTGCAGAGAGTTTCCGGCTGTGTGTGTGTGTGTGTGTGTCAATTTGTTCTTAATTTCACAATGTGTTTCCGCAGGCTGCAAAACTTTCTAAGATGAAGATCTGTCCCAGTGAATTGTTTAAGACAGAAACTGACAAGTACTCCAAGTTTGATGAAAATGTAAGTAGCCGCAGACTCACGGGTTTGATGGGGCTCTGTCTGCTAAACTGGAGTTTCCTGTATCTTCTTTTCTGGTTCTCGGACTGGGGAAGACCAAAACACTTAGGCACATCCACAGAAAAAGGAGAAGGAGGGTCTCAGTGCTCATGGGAGCCCAGTCTTAGGTCCACTTGGAAATTATCTGGATGGTCAGATGAAGTGGGTACAGATGAAAAAGGCCAAAGGCTTTTTTTTTTTTTTCCAGGCGTTTGGCTCTAAAGCTGACCATAGGGCTCCATTCACACGGGATCGGTTGTCTGCACGTATTCGGCCGTACGTATACGTGCGGAGCCACTCTCAACATAATAAAAAATGCACTTTAATGTGCATTGTTCAGACTTTTGCAGCGGCCGCGTTATATCAAACCGCGCTGCCTGCAAAATACAAGCGCGATATCATGGAGGATTCTGCATGTTCGCGGCTATATAATAGACGCAAACTAGCAGAATCCGTGCTGATTACAAAATTAAGTTCTCTATCACTCACTGAAGAACACAGATTGATCCATAGATCATGAAAACCACGTAGGCTATGGTGCTACCTTCACGAAGAAGACACTTGGTGCAATTAAAAAGAAGCACTAGGGGGCAGTTCTATCTGGTGGCCAAAAGCCCCACAACTGCCAAGAGACTGACTGGGTTAATCACGAAAGGGGGAAGGGTTTGGAGAAGGGAGGAGAAGTGAACAATCTAGGACAACATAGCCGATTTGGAAACATTCTCCAAATCGGCTCACTTAGTATCCATGAAGGAAAGACCTATCTCACCCAGGTATCTCCCTACACATAACAATCATTTAAAGGGCTCATACAGATGGGCATACACGTCCATACGGCGTGCACATATGTAAAAAAAGACGCGATCCCCGAAAGGACAGGTTCTGAATACACACAGCTCCTGTCCCTTCCGGGATCATTTTTTTTTTACAGACTTGCACACCTGTATGAACATTCAGATCCAAAGTTAATTCCAACCACCGTTTTCCGTAAGTGGTTTACATATCAATCGTGACTGTTGAGGAAGCACTGACAGTTTTTATTACTGATGTTTTGGTACAGGTGTTCCACAACGGTTTATATAGAGCAGGGGTAGCCAAACTCCGGCCCTCCAACTGTGGTGAAACTACAAATCCCGCCATACATCTGCCTCTACCCTGTTTCCCTGAAAATAAGACCTACCCCGAAAATAAGACCTAGTTGGGACCATTCCCAGGGCCGGTGGTGACATAAGGGGGAGCTTGAAGAGCCGCGGGAGAGAATCAGCGGCGCCAACGAAGCCAGCGCTAGAGGAAGCGAGGTGGCACCGGAGGGAGCAGAGCCGCATAAGCCGATGCCTCCTCTATAGTGCCGGCTCCTGTCACAGGCGGAGTGATAACAAATGCCCCCCGCCTGTGAGGAATTGATAGTGAAAGCACGCTACGCTCATTCTGGGCAGCGATTGGTTACCAGATTGCTCTTGGAAAGGTACGGCACCCCTGATTGCCCTGATCACCCTATTCTTAACTTTGCCATTTTGGATTATTTAATTTGGATTTGCGTTAATTTTGGATTGTTGTACATTTAAATTTTAATTTGGATTTGCGTTAATTTTGGATTGTTGTCCATTTAAAAAAAAAAAAAAGACCTACCCCGAAAATAAGACCTAGTGTGTTTTTTTGAGCCCCCAAAAATATAAGACAGTAGTCATGCTTGTGGCTGTCGGAGTCTTTCAGTGCCTTGTGGGACTTGTAGTTTCACCACAGCAGGAGGGCCGAAGTTTGGCTGCCTCTGATGTAGGGTGTGTGCTTCAGCCATTTTATAATGCATTCAGACACGTGTGTGTGTGTGTGTGTGTGTGTGTGTGTGTGTGTGTGTGTGTGTATATATATATACATACACACACACAC